CGTCAGGCGTCAATGAGTCGCTCCGCAACTACGCGTCGGGCACTGTCGGCGCGAGGGCACTCGGGCGCTGGGCGGTCACTCTCAAGCGGTTTGACCAGTTCCTGTTCGACCGCATCGTCGTCCCCGTCCTTGGGGGCCGCGACGTCCATGGGGCCATGTGGATCGGAAAGACCAGGGTCGACAAATCCACAGCGTCCAAAACTATCGGCTTCGCTATTTCTGCCTACCAGATTGAGAAGCACCGCCGCGCTGACCTCCGCCCGAGCGTCGTCGCGGCGAAGACGGTCGACTTCCTGCAAGCCCGCCATCGCAGACGATGCCGTGCTGGCCGCCACGTGGGGCCCCGACGAGGCCGAGGCTTTCCTCGACCCCGCCGAGGAAGACGCGCTGCTTTGGGCGAGGCGGCGGCGCGCGGGAAAGTGCAATTCTTGGAAACACAATTGTTTAAACGCATCTAAATTATGTTAATAAGAAGTTTACCAGGGCAGAAACAGTCCTGCCAGATCTGTGTCAAACCGTATAACGAGGAGTTCAAGGCGACGGTCAAGTCCGTCAGCAGGGAGAAGGAAGAGGTGGCATTCAGTGACTTCATCAAGACCATCGACTGCAATTTCACTGGCGAAAAGCAGTGCAGCTACAAGATGGCGGACGTGGAGGCGTACGCGGCGAGGTCCAACGTCGTGCCCCTCTCGCCGAACTGGGTGTACTTTCGGGCGGCATCCACGACGAGGGAGCCAGTCCCTCGCTTTCCGTGGCCAGTGCCCGCGAAGCCAGATCTCTTCGCGCCCGAGACGTACGACATCCTCAAGGCATTCAAGAAAGACCAGACTCGCGTTCCATCCGACTACGACCAGCACATGAGGTGGGCCGTGGCCGCCATGAAGAAGTTAGCGCGGGGCGAGGAGCTCGGGCAGTCATCGACGGTCCGTGGCCCCATGCTCTTCGACCAGGACGCGCCCGCGAGATGCAACTTCCCAGAGGTGGCCACGCAGCCGCCGAGCGGCAGGCAGGGGGGCGAATGGTTCCCGCGAGCGGCCGCTGGTCAGCCGACCAGCGCCTCGTGCCCCGTTCTCGAAGATACGCGTGATATCGATGAGCAGCTGAATGTCTGCCGCGCCGTTCAGCGACGCCTCTGCGGTCGCGCGGTGGCCTTTCACGGCCGCGTGATCGGCATCTCATCGCCGCAGCCGCTTAAGCGCGGCGTCTAGCGCCTGGCTTGCCCCGACGCGTCCGCCGTGGACGAGGAGGAGCGCGATAGGGCCATGCAGGCGATGGGGGGGGGAGTATCATCGAGCGCAGGAGGGGGGCCCACGGCTCGAGCATCGACCTGTTGTCCCCAGCGCGCCCGCCAGCCGCCGACGTCTCCTCGCAGGATATCGCAGCGGCGATGGCCGAGGGCGCGGCCGCTTCAGGCGACGAGTGGTCCTTCCCGCAAGTGGGCGAGGATTCGGCTTCTGACTGAACCGAGCGCAGTAGTATCTGCTGCAGCTGATGCGCACGCCGATGCGCAGCCCTTTTGCCTGCCACATATGACCCGCGAAGCTTATCTCTGGAATGCTGTCCGCGCTGCGAGGCGCTGGGCACGCGAGTGCCCGAGCGAGATGTGCGCAGATACGCATATTGTTTCTGATATGTCGTGATGTTATGATTTTGTGCAAACAGCAACACTTGCATTCACCCATGCTGTTGTATGGAATGGACGGGGAAGCGTGGGGAATTTCTTCGGCGCACCCCTCAAACGTTCCGTGACCACGCAGAGGAGCCTCTACCGAAGGCCCCACGTCAATCTCGGCACACCCTCACACGGTTTGGCCTCCGCTCATTCGCATCACTCCTGTACCCTCTCACGTTCTTCCTCCCTTAGCGTAGATGGACTGAGCACGTTTTTTTTTTTTTTTTTTTTTTTCTTTTTCTTCTTCTTCTTCTTCGGAGTCCTGGAAGAGACTAGCCAACTTGCGTAGTCTCTGCCAGAAACCAGAAAACAACAGAAACAACCAGAAGAACATGAAAACCACAGCGTTCTCAGGCCCCTACGTTCAGAGACGTGACCCCTCCTCAAGCGAGCCCAAGAGAGTCGTTTTCAGTTTCTGAGAAGGAGGAGGACGGGATAACGACGAGGGGACGGAGAAGGATGAGGATAACACGATCAGTTGGCGCTTTGTTTGTTTTGGGTTGGTTTGGGGGTGCTGGGGCGGGGGGCGTCCAAGAATATTGTTAATAATCGCAATAATAATATTAATGCTAATACTAACATGAATAATAATAGTGATATTAATAATACTGTTAATGATACTAATAATAGTGATACTAATAATATTGTAAATGACACTAATAACAATAATACTATTAATATTACTAGCAATAATAGTAATACGAATACTAATATTATTCGTGATAATGATAATGCTAATCAGAACACTACGAATAATGCTAATACTAATACTGCGACTAGTCACTCCATTAATCACAGTAATCATAACAATAATTCGAATAATCATAATAATCATACTAATACTACAAGTAATACTACTACACATAATACTATTAATTTTTAATAATACAACTAATACTAATCATATAAATAGTCATAATAATAGTAATATTAATAATTATAGTATCGTTATTAATAATATTATTATTAATACTATTAATACCAATAATAATAAGGATGCTAAGACTAAGACTAATAATACTAATCATCATCATCATCATCATCCTAATACTAATATTCATAATAATAGTAATGTTACTTCTAATAATAAAATGATAATACCAATAATATTAATCATCATAATATTAATAATACTAATACTAATGCTAATACTATGATGATGATGATGATGATGATGATGCTGATGATGATGATGATGATGATGATGATGATGATGATGGTGATGATGATGATGATGATGATTATGATGCTGATGATGATGATGATGATGATGATGATGATGATGATGATGATGATGATGATGATGATGATGATGATGATGATGATGATGATGATGATGATGATGATGATGATGATGATGATGATGATGATGATGATGATGATGATGATGATGATGATGATGATGATGATGATGATGATGAGGATGATGAGGATGATGAGGATGATGAGGATGACGATGACAATGACGAGGAGGAGAAGGAGGAGGAGGAGGAGGACGGGTCGCCTAAGCCCTCCGGAGAAACCATCCACCCCGGCTCCGACCGTTCCACCAGGCCCGGCGAGGGCCCCCAGAGGCCGACAGCGGCCCGCGGCGCGAGCAGGCCTGGGCCTCCGGGCGGCCCACGAGCGGCCCCCGAGCGAACCCGCCTCGGTGGAGGCCCTGCGCGCCGCCGGCAGAGGCTGTGGGAAAGGGGGATGGGGAGAGAGCGCGAGTTTCCTTCCCCACAGCAAGTCCCTTCGATAGGCAGCAAACGACTCTTTTTCCACTGGCGGGCTGTTCTTCGATCCCAGGACTCTTTTTGAGGGTCGGGGTCGACGTCGGCGTTGCCTCCCGGGAAGCAGCGACAAGTCCATACACCAAGACCCCGTATGCACCAGGATCCCGTATAAACCAGGAGGAGGAGGAGGAAGAGGAGGAGGAGGAGGAGGAGGAGGAGGAGGAGGAGGAGGAGGAGGAGGAGGAGGAGGAGGAGGAGGAGGAGGAGGAGGAGGAGGAGGAGGAGGAGGAGGAGGAGGAGGAGGAGGAGGAGGAGGAGGAGGAGGAGAGGAGGAGGAGGAGGAGGAGGAGGAGGAGGAGGAGAGGAGGAGGAGGAGGAGGTAGAGGAGGAGGAGGAGGAGGAGGCCCGTATAGATTCCGTATCACCGCACCGTTTCGGGACCCTGACACTTGAGGTTCCTCCCGGCAGGACTCTGGTAGCCACGGCCTCGTCGCCAGGTCGGCCCCGACCTCCGACGACCATTCGACCGTGGCCGTGGGTGCCTGGAGCGCTCGGCCGGGCTCCGCGGGCACCGGGCGGCCCGCCACGGCGCTGTTTTGAGCCGCCAGCTAGGGCCCTCACCAAGCGCATTCCTCTACTCGCAAAGTGCCTGCTCGCAAACGTCCCGAAAACATATGCCTCTCTCGATGTAAATCGGGTGTTGCTAGAAGTGCCCCTGGGCCAAGGTGCCCCCAGGATTCTCGGGGTAGCCCAAACGGCTTCCAAAGCATCCCTCACGAGGCCCAGAGGGCTCCAGGGGCTCCAAAATGGGGCGAAGAGCTGCGGGCACCTTGGGCCAGGGGTACTTCTAGCAACATCCGATTAAAGGATCGTAGATCCCCCGCGGCGGAGACAGGCCATTTGCGAGTAGTTGCTCTGCGAGACGTGGAACGCGCTCGTCCAAGGGCGGAGCGGCGCGGGGGCCTGCCGAGGCACCCCTTGAGCCGCTTCCGGCCGCGCCCCTCCCAGGGCGCCTCGCGGCGCGGCTCGCGGCCCCGGGCGTGGCATGTCCTCCGCCACGGGCGACTTTGCGCAGAGCTCGGGCCCCCAGGGACCCATGCATGAACGTTTTGTGCAATTCAGTCAGAAGCCGCTCTTCGCAATTCTGTCAAGAGTCATGTTCTGGGGAAGAACAAGTGGTTGAAATTCGTTCACAACCCAGGTGTTGGAATTCATTAAACAACCGTTATGTTATACATGTGAGCCTGAGATTCAGGCGTCGCAATGTTTCCACCCGGCGATTTCGCCCTATTCCGGGCAGATCGAGCTGGCTCGAAAAGTGCAGCAGAGAGATGGGGTCAGGGGCTCTGGCCGAGGTTTTCCCACGATGCTGCATCTTTCCGTGACATCGGATCTCGAGGTCGCGGCCGTGCTCCTCCCTGGACTCCTCCGCCGGCCAGAACGCACAGAACGCCCTAGGTCTGGACGCCCGAAATGGGTACGGAAATAATGGGTACAATGCCCAACAGCAGTTCCTGTTCATCTTGAACAGGATTCGCTGTCCACGCCGCCGCGGCCTGTGTCCATTCGAGACAGAAGGCCGCCTGCCCAACAGCGGCCGCTGTTGGTTTGGAACAACATTTGTTGTTGGGCATTGTACCCATTTTTTCCGTACCCATTTCGCCAAATAGGGTGCCATCCCCAGGATGCACAAGAACATCCAACAAGCACGAAGAACCTTCGGGTACCATCTCCGAGCCGACCTCGATCCTAGACCTCGGTCCGACCATTCGTCGTCGTCGTCGTCGTCTGCGGCGTCGTCGTCGTCGTCGTTGCCTCGCGGCCGCGCCCCTCCCTGGACTCCTCGCGGCTCGCGGCCCCGCCCGTGCGCCTCGCGGGGTCCCTGGGCGGTGGCGCGGCGGGGCCACGCCGTCCACTGCGTCTCGGGTGTGGTCTGCGGGGTCGGCGGGCCGCTCGGGGGCCCGGGGTTCAGTCGGGCACGTCCCTCTGCATGAGGAATCTGCAGAAGTAGCAGCCACAAGTCAGGGGACGATTTTTTGTTCGACTGTTTCGGACTGTTTCTGAGTATTCTCTGGCTGCTTCTGGTTTCTCTTTCCTAGCAATCCTCAGAAGTAGCAGCAGCAAGTCGGGGGACGAGTTTTTCGACTGCTTCGGATGTTTTCGGAGCATTTTCTGGCCTCTCCTAATGCCTCCTTTGAAAATCCGCCTGTGGGAGGACATGCCCGACCTAAACCTGGGGGGGGGGCGGGGGGGGGGATGCCGAGGATGCGTCGAGCGCCCGCGGCCTCCAGGTGGGGTCGGAGCAGATTTTGAGTCGGGCCTGTCCCTCTACAGGAGGAGTGTTCAAAAATAGTGAGGGGACGATTTCCTTTTTTTTTTTTTTTTTTTTTTTTTTTTTTTTTTTTTTTTTTTTTTTTTGTTTTTTATATATATATATATATATAATATATATATATATATATATATTTTATATATATATATATATATATATATATATATATATATATATATATATTATTATTATTATTATTATTATTATCTTTTGACTCTATGTTGGATTCATTTTGGACTATGCTGGATTCTGTTTGACTCTATTTTCGATTATTTTTTGACGACTTGTATCAAAAACGTTTTTTCTTCCAAAATCCGCCTGTAGGAGGACATGCCCGATCTAAGAATAGATGACGTCGGAGGATCGGGTGATATCGCCGATGCCTCGGGGATACGGCCTTTTGTGGAGCCCGATTCTCTGCATGCCGCCCGCTCACATGCATCGCCGACGTCCCCGATGGATCGCCGATGCATCGGCGATACACTGGCGATGTGGTGCGAGCATCTGACCTTATCTACTCGGAGCAAATGTGCATTTTGGAGGCCTCTGTTACATCTTGTGCGTAACTAACAGTCGCTACCTGGGCCAAACCCCTCCCCCCCCGGTAACGGCAACGATCGCACGTAGGGGGGATGCTTGGGTCCCCCCCACGTGCTGTTGCTCGCGCGCATACCATGGCGCTCGTAGCGCAACCTCGTCCCGACGTGCCCCACCCCGCCCAAGCGTTAACGTTACCCGGGGCCCCACCCCAGCCCTGGATGACGAACGTTACCGGAAACAAGAAAACAATCTTTGAGGATGTGTCGAGCGCTTGGGGCCTCCAGAGCCTCCCAAGCAATGTGGTAACGGAGTGTCCGTTGAGCTCTTTGGGGGGCTCGAGGTCACCGCACGGTCCGTCGAGGGGCCGCTTCGAGACCCTCTAGCTACTGCTCCGCCTCCTCCTGTCCTGATATTTCTGCGGGTGTACCGCGCAGGATAGGCTGCCCAGAGCGCGATGCCCGTCACCTGGTGTAGTACGTGCACGGTCGTGGGAGGTAGGCGCTCGCTCGAGCTGGATGGATGCTTGGCGATTGGCAGGGCGACGGTGAGACCAGGCCGAGTTTTTTTTGTTTCTTCTTCTTCTTCTTCTTCTTTCTGTTCCACCTCCTCCTCCTCCTCCTCCTCCTCCTCCTCCTCCCATGGCTCGGCATCGCAGCAAGAGAGGAGCAAGGATGATACGCACGTTAGATGTTCTACCACTCGCGGGCAATACAAGAACTGTCGCGGGAGTGGACTGTGGTACAGGCGCCAGCCAGGACTTGTCTCCCATCCATATTCGGAGGCGCCGCCTCCTCTGTCTTCAACGGCTAGTTTTCGGCCTCGGCTGGGATACTAGACCTTGGTTTTATGACGAAAGAACTTCGAGCACCAAGAAAGTGCCGAAACTGGAGGGTTTTCACGTGGGAACTGGTGGGCCTTCACGTGTTCGACACTTCGCCAGTGTGCACCTCCCCTGCGCAGACTGCCGCCCCCTGGGACGCAGCCAGCCCTTGTTCTGTGGGTCTCCTCCGTGCACGCCGAAGCTGAGATGCCAGGCGCGCGCGCCCTCTCCCCCGCTCTGGCCAGAGCCACTGGGCGATCAGCCAGGACGGCCGCTGAGCTGCACCCGTGGCCGATGCTCCTCCTCCTCCTCTTCCTCCTCCTCCTCTTCCTCGTCCTCCTCCTCATTCTCCTTCTCCACGGCCTCCTCCTCCTCCTCCTCCTCCTGCTCCTCCTCCTCCAGCCTCCATGCTGTACGGTCATCTGCCACTCTAGCGAGGGTACGGTGCCCCGAATTGAGCTGCGGAGTAGAGGGCGTGATCGCAGAAGGTCGTTATACTCCCCCGGTTCACGCATACGCCTCGAGACTCGTAGCTTGAATTGAATGGGTGGGAGCGATTGAGCGAGCAACTCCTCTTCCTCCTCGTCCTCCACCCCGTGTGTGCTTCCGATGGCCCTAGTCCTCCTCTTACTCCTCCTCCTGCTCCTGCTCCTCCTCCTCCTCCTCCTCTTCCTCCTCGTCCTCTTCCCCGCGGGTGCTTCCGATGGCCCCCTGCCTTCCGGGGGCTTCCTCGGGCGTCCTGCGGGCCTTCAGAGGCTTGCTTCCAGGGGGGTCTCTAAGGGGCCACCGTCGTTCTGCCATGCTCCTGACATGGCCTGCCACAGTCCTGTGCCATGGTCTGCCATTGGCAGCGTGGCCTTTCCACTGCCGTGGCCCGCCGCCGTCGTCCGTCGCTGTCCTGTTGCCTTCTGGCGCGTGGAATGCGGGGCGCCAGGGGGACCCTCGGAGAGTCCGTGGCCCCTGGCCGCCGGGGTCCTGCCAGGGCCCGCAGAATTCCAGCCGCCGGAGGCCCGGGATTTAGGGGAATCAGAATCATCACCATCCATCGTCGCCAGCACTGCCATCATCATGATTGTCATCAGTACCATCATCACCGCCATCATCAGCTTCGTTCTCGCCCTCGTCATCCTCAGACTAACTAACATCGTCAGCATCACCAAGCATCATCAACATCATCAGCTGCATCAGCATCAACATCAGCATCAGCATCATCACCATCATCCGCATCAACACCACCATCATCATTATCTTCATCATCACCGCCAGCAGCATTATGACCATGGTTGTCAGTATCACCACCAGCATCATATCCGTCATCAGTATCACCATCACCATCATCACCAACACCATGACCATCACCATCGCCACCATCATCATCCCGATGAGCATCATCGCCATCATTCATCATTATCGTTGACAATAACATCATCAAAACAATCGTCAGCACCCCTGCCTCATCATTTCCATCACCACCATCACCATCACCATCATCGACATCACCACCATCACCATCATCATCATGATCAGTACCCGTATCATTATCAACACCCGCGTCACCATCGTCATAATCAGCAGCATCATCATTATCGCCAGCATCATTATTAGTATCTTAGTCGTCGGCATCTGATGTCGTTTCTGGTTCGTCTTCTTCATCTTCGTCCTCCCATTTTTTTATTTTCCTCATCCTCGTCTTCATCATCGTCGACATCAACCTCATCATCATCATCACTATCGGCATCGTCATCACCATCGCCATCACCATCAACATCAGCATCATCACCAGCATCATCATCATAAGCCTCATCATAATTCTCATCATCATCACCATCACCATCACCATCTCCATCGCCATCGCCATCGCCATCGCCATCACCATCACTATCACCATCACCATCACCATCACCATCACCATCACCATCACCATCACCATCACCATCACCATCACCATCACCATCACCATCACCATCACCATCACCATCACCATCACCATCACCATCACCATCACCATCACCATCACCATCACCATCACCATCACCATCACCATCACCATCACCATCACCATCACCATCACCATCACCATCATCACCATCACCATCACCATCACCATCACCATCACCATCACCATCACCATCACCATCACCATCACCATCACCATCACCATCATCACCATCACATCACCATCACCATCACCATCACCATCACCATCACCATCACCATCACCATCACCATCACCATCACCATCACCATCACCATCACCATCACCATCACCATCACCATCACCATCACCATCACCATCACCATCACCATCACCATCACCATCACCATCGCATCACCATCACCATCACCATCACATCACCATCACCATCACCATCACCATCACCATCACCATCACCATCACCATCACCATCACCATCACCATCACCATCACCATCACCATCACCATCGCCATCGCCATCGCCATCGCCATCGCCATCGCCATCGCCATCGCCATCGCCATCGCCATCGCCATCACCATCATCATCACCATCACCATCACCATCACCATCACCATCACCATTGCCATCATCATCAGTATCGCCATCACCATCGCCGTCAAGATCATGTACACCACTACCAACACCAACACCACAACTGTCACCATCACTATCACCATCACCGCAATCATCACCATCACCATCACTTCCAGTATCGCTTGCGTCAGCTGGGCCGTGCGCCTCGAGCCTCAGGGCAGTCATTGCCGCAGTGGCGCACGCGGGTGTGCCCCGCTCTGCTTTGGGGGCGTCCACCCCGGGTGGACAGCCCGCGGGCGCTCGCGCCAGGACGTCGTCTGAGCGGGGCGACGCCTGCGAGGGCGTGGGCTCCGAGGGGGACGACGTCGGCTCCGACGTCGGCTCCGACGACGACGGCGCCTCCCCCAGGCGAGGGGGGGGGGACGGTGGAGCCCTGAAATCCTGGGGGTTTTGAGTGAATTCAGATAGCCGGCGCCCCGAATTCATTCAACAACCGTATGCAATATCTTAGCGATCCAGTGGACCCCAAACAGCGGTTTCGTGCAATCCATACGGTGCACTCTACGTGGTGCAACTCACCCTGCCGAATCTGATGCCAATTTCATTGCTCACGCAACCATCCCAGCCGCCCGCCCGCAACTTGGTTTGCAAAACCCATGCGGTGGCGATTGCGATGGGTGCTCGGCGTTGGCTGGTGCATCTCTGCGGCCGCGCTAGCCCGCGCATGCTCGCGCGCGCAGTGGCCAGCTAGGTTGGCGCGACCGACGCGGCCGCGGTGGCGTTGACCGCTGGGCACTTCCCAGCGGGCACTTCACTGCGAGTCGGCGACTTCGGCGGGAGCGGTATCATGGGAACGTCGACAACGGTAGACACGATAATTGTAGTAGCGGTGCTGGCGACGATGATGACAACGACGACGGCAAGGCCAGTGACGGCGCCGATGCGGATCACGCCGACGACGATGACGGCGCGGCCGACGCGCGAGAGTGACCCGCATGTATTTTTTGAAACGGATTGTACCCCCCCAGCACGCGCGCAAAAGGGCGTTCGAATGTTTTCGACATGCTGCGCGACAGGCCCGTTTGGCTGAATTTATTGGGCATGTTGCAAAACCAACGGTTCCTTCAAACGTTTGCAGGAGCGCGAGCGCAGACATGTTTGAATTCTGATGTTGCGGAGCCATATGTCTCTTTATGCTTTGGGGACAATCGGTGGAGGATTTCCGCATGCGCCCGCGCGACGATGCGCACGTGCTCAGTTCGTTTTGATTGGAAGTTGTTTTCGAACACCCTTGTCGAGAAGCCGTTCTTTATGTACGGCGATTGTTTTTCGGGGCACTCGACTTTGAATTCCTTGCGAAACGCGCGTTTTTGACAGATTTCGGCATGCGCGCGCGGCGACGCGCACGTGTGCACTTCGTTCTGTTTTTCGCAAGGGATCGTTGAGCATTGCTGATTTTTGCACAATGCGCGCGCATTTTTGTTTTGTTTTGTTTTGTTGTTTCCCTTCCGGAATATGATAGGGGCCGATGCCGGTTTGCCTGAGATGGTATGAATTCATATTTCGGAAGGGCGATGGGGCATAATCATATGTAAACAGCAGTACCAAACCAGGAGCAGTTAAGTCTGGGGGTGGGGGGGAGGGGGTCGATCCCAATATTTTTGGTAGAAAAGAGGATCACAATGGTGCAATCCAAGTGGTGCACTCCAAATTTTCAGCCTATTGCAAACCAGTGCAAGGCAATGCAATGCAATGCGAAGCAATTTAAAGCAATTCAAGGCAGTACGAAACAATGTCAATCAATGCTCGAAACAAAACCACAAGTAATGTAAAAAAGGCATTGCAAAGCAATGCGGAGCAGGCGGCGACGAGGCGACGGGCCGCGACGAGGCGGCGACGGGGCGGCGTCGGCGGTCACGTAGCCGCCAGACAGCTGCGCAGGTCCAGCCGGTGGGCGGCGCCGAGACGGGCGATGGGGCGGCGACGGCGGCCATAATTACAGCCGCCAAACCGCCGCGCAGGCCCAGACAACAGGCGGCGACGAGGCGGCGACGAGGCCTCGACTGGGCGGCGACGGCGGCCACATAGAGGCCAGACAGCCGCGCAGGCCCAGTTCCTGACAAAAAAATACACGATTCCCGAGTTGCAAGCACTGTGTGAGGAAACGCATATGTTGATTCCATTCATCATCCGGGTTCGGGAATTACTAGTCACCCAACAGAAATATGCTTTGAATTCCCCAGCGTTCTTTGGATTCAATCCGAAACTGAAATGTGTGTATATATATATGTGTGTGTATGTGTGTATGTATGTATGTGTGTATGTATGTATGTATGTATGTATGTATGTATGTATGTATGTACATATGTATGTATGTATGTATGTATGTATGTATGTATGTATGTATGCATGCATGCATGCATGCATGCATGCATGCATGCATGCATGCATGTATGTATGTATGTATGTATGTATGTATGTATGTATGTATGTATGTATGTGTGTATATATGCACACATATAGCGGCGCACCGGGCTCGGGGGCCGAGGGCCGGAACCTCGACCACAAATATGGGGACCGGGGCCTGGTCCCGACTTTGGGAGGCCTGAAATCGCCCTGGGGAGCTTTCAGACAACAATCCCGGCGGCCCCAGACGGTCTCGAGACACCCCCAAGACGCCGTCCAGGGGTCGTCTCTGGCGACGCACGATGTGTTTTAAATTGCCCTGGAGGCTCCCAAGACGCCCCAAAAGGCCTTTAAGATGCCGCCCAAGAGCGCCCCGAGAAGGCAACATCGATGATTTTCATTATTGTTTTACATGTTTTTCTGCATTCTCGCTGTTTCGTGTTTCTGGCGCTACAGCACCGTCTAAGAGGCTCCCCAAACCGCTCCAAGATGGCCCATGAGGCCCCCAAGAGGGCCCCCAAACGGCCCAAGAAAGCCCCGAGACGGCCCCAGAGCCGCCCAAAACGGCGCAAGAGGGTCCCAAGAAGGCCCCCAAAGGGGCCCAAGAGAGGGAACGCGAATTGAAAAATCAAGCTCTCCGCCCCGAGACGCCCCCCAAAGCCCCCAAGATGCCCCCACGAAACCGCCAGGAGGCCCCAAGAGGCCCCCCAGAGGTCCCAAGAAGCCCAAAAGAGGCTCCAAGAGAGGCCCCAAGACGGCACCCCAAAGGCTTCCAAACTCTTTCTAAGAGGCCCCCGAAGACATGCCTAGAAGGTCCCATGACGACTTCAAGAAGCAGTCCAGGATGCTCCCAGGAGGCCCCAAGAAACTCGCCAGAACTTGAGCGCGCGCGAGCCGCGCGCGATGGTTATATTCTATGTGTTTGCATACATTTATGTATGTATGTATGTATGTATGTATGTATGTATGTATGTATGCATGCATGCATGCATGTATGCATGTATGTATGTATGTATGTATGTATGTATGTATGTATGTGTATATATATATGTGTGTGTATGTATATGTACATGTATATGTATACGTATGTATGTATGTATGTATGCATGTATATATATGCCTGTCTGTCTGTCTGTCTGTCTGTCTGTCTGTCTGTCTGTCTGTCTGTCTGTCTGTCTGTCTGTCTGTCTGCATGCATGCATGTATTGCTGCATTTATTACTATTATTATTATTGTTATTATTTTCTTATTATTAACATGTATGTATGTATATTTTCACATATATATATATATATATATATATATATATTAGCTTTGAATATATATATATATATATATATATATATGTGTGTATATATGTGTGTATATATATATATATATATATATGTGATATGATATACACAGATGTATGACCCTGAGATCCTGGCGTCGTATTTTTGCTCGCGCCTGGCGATTCTGCCATTTTTTCGGGTCGTCGGGGCCCGGGGGAGGAAGGGCGGTGGTCGGTGGCGCGCACGTGTGGGCGGGGCGAGGGGCGGCGGCCTTCCGAAGAAGGCACGGGGGCGGTGGCTTCGCAGAAGGGGCCCCGGGCGGTGGCTTCCGCGAGGGCCTCGCGGAAAGCAAGGGGGGGGGGCCTTTTGGGAGACCCCTCCGCCGTTCCGAAGCGGCCGCCCCGCCGTCGGGGACGCGCGGCCTGCTCCCCCCACGCGAGAGGATGCGTGGGAGGAGTAGGTATCTTTATCTGATGTCCTTGTGCCCCCCCCCTTCGCTCTGTCTCTCACATGCTTTTGGGTTTTCGCTATTGAATGTTAACTACTAAATAATTACTGTTGGACCCCTTACAGGCGCCCTGGTGCTTTCGCCGAGGCGCTGGCGGCATACTCTCGAGCGGTTTGGGGGACCGCCAAAACCGGCCCCAACACAACAACATCATCAACAACAACAACACAACGCTCCCGTTCGAGACTTCCTCCTTTCTTACTAAGGGCCGATGCTCTTGCTCGCCGCCGAAAGCAGCCGTCTCAACAAAACCAACGCTCCCGCTCGAGACTTCCTCCCGTTTTACCTCGGACAGGCGCGCTACTCTTTCTCTCATCGGCGCCGCAACGCTCCCGGTCGAGACTTCTTCCCTTTCACTCAAGGCGGTGTTCTTGCTCGCCGACGACAGCCCCCGTCCCGACAAAACCTGCGCTCCCGCCCGGGACTTCCTCCCGTTTTGCGCTGGACTGGCGCCTTTTTCTTCTCCTCCTCGTCCTCGTCTTCCTCCTCCTCCTCCTCCTCCTTCTCCTCCCTCCTCCCCCCTCTTTCCTCTTCCTCCCTCTTCCTTCCTCCGCCCCCTCCTCTTCTCCCTCCTCCCTCCTCCCTCCTCCCTCCCTCTTTCCTCCCTCCCTCCCCCCTTCTCCTCCCTCTTCTCCTCCTCCTCCTTCTCGTCGTCCTCCGTCCTCCGTCCTCCTCCTTCTCCTCCTCCTCCCTCCTCCTCCCCCCTCCTTCCTCTTCCTCCCTCTTCCTCCCTCCACCCCCTCCACCCCCTCCTGTTCTCCCTCCTCCCTCCTCCGTCTCCCGTCCCTCTTTCCACCCTCCTCCTCCCTCCTCCTCCCTCCTCCTTTCCCTGTGCGTCCCCGTTGTCTCCTCCCTCCTCCCTCTTCCAGCCTCCCTCCTCCCCCTTCCCTCCTCCCTCCTCCCTTCCCCTTCCGTCCTCCCTCGTCGCTCCCGTTTGATATGTCCTCACCTTTTACTCAAGACGGGCTCTCGTTTCGGCATCGCCTCTGGAGGGATTCCACGAGTCCTTGCTGAAACTTAATTATTGGATAACTATCATTTTTGGAGAGCATAGATCATGTAGAGGAGGAGGAGGAGAAGACGGATGATGGATGACTTCCAGGGACTCCAAGGATCGAGGGTCGATGGATTGACTGCAGGGAGTCTTTGAGAGGGTGTGGATGGGGCAGGTGTAGGATGCGAGCATGGGAGCGGCAGCGCCTGGGGGCGTGAACGTTCAGGGT